ATTTTTAAAATAATTCAAAATTCAAAATTCAAAATCAAAACCTTTTTTGAAATTTTACAAATTTTACCCAAATTGGAAATTAACAGCAGACCCTTCCAAAATCAAAATTTACAGAACAGGTCCTTGATTTTAAAATTGCAAATTGACCCCCTTTTTTGTAATTGCAACCAGGGGCCCCTAATTACATTATTTGCAATAGAGGCCCCCATCTCCACCAAAACCTTAAACCTAAAAAAAAAAATTTTATTTCTTTCTGGTGCGGCGCCGCCCATCTGAAATAACCAGCAGAGCGAGGCGCTGCCGGTTTGCAGCGCGGGTAGGCGCTGCCGCGCCCGCCGCCCGCCTCTCGGCCCCCTTTTTTTTTTTCAAGAACAGATCCAAAAAAATAAAAAAATTAAAACTATATTTGCTAGATTTAGGAATGAACGTGATTAAACTAACATTTAATTTAATCAACACGTTAAACAGTTCCTAACAAATATAAAGTTGGCTCTGATACCACTGTAGGGAATTTACTTAAACATGGACACGGAATTTAACAAATTTCAATTCCCATTCAGGATTCAGCTTTGTATTTAAATAAAAATTGTGATAAAAAATATACCTTTTCTTGTAATTTGCAAGCTCCTTCGCGTTATTCCTTTCAAGCAGTTTGAATCTGCCTCCCACAGCTGTTCAATTGTCCAGCCTCCAATGAAATCCACACAGAGAATAGACTGCAACTGCTAGGATTTCTGTCTTATGCCAGTAAGAATAATGAAAACCTTATGGACCTCAAACCCTAGCTATGTATATATATAAACCCAAACGGACCCGGCCCGGTCCGGTCCAATATTTAATTAATCCAATTAATTAAATTCGGTCCGTGAATTAATTAATCCAATTAATTAATTCGGGAATATAAATAACAAATTCAATTAATTAATTTATCCAACGATTGTTAAATTAACCAATTGGCAATTTGCAATCTTCCAATTCTCTTTTGTGTGCGACCCATTAGGTTCTCGACCACGATACCTAACGTCGTGAAATATTATTTTGATCTAATCAAAATTGATAAATTAATACACCCTTTTAATTTATCGTCAATTCACTCTCGCCGTCCCTGATTGACATCTAGCAATGTGTCAGAGCAATACATGTGACGGGAAATGTCACATGGTATGACAAAACCAAATTCATTCGTTTACCATGAAACTATTATCCCTTCGTCAATACGATCCGATCAATTACAAGATATAGAATTGTGTCAATCTCGATCATTGATCATATCTTTCACTCCACTATTAAGTCAATATAAATCGAAAACTCCTTTTCGACTTATGAGTACACCTTGGCCAAGGATTTCATCATCGACTTAATTGAATGAAACGCAGATCATAATCTCCTACTATCTAAGAGTGACAAATCCTTTATTGATCAACCACAACCTTCATACGGTTCTTGATGTACACGAACGATGTCGTATTAGCGGCCCCTTTCAGAGCAACATCCAACACCGTCAAAGTATGACTGTCCTCATATAAGGTACCATGAAGACCTCAAGTCAAAGGACCAATTCCACTACCGAACGTTAGAGATTAGCCACTGACACTCAGATAGTTATCCATGTGGAATCTCTTAGCGGGTCTCCAATGTTTTGTTCTATAACAAAACATCCACGTGTTCATTTAAGTGTCACCACACTTTAGCTCGTGAGATCAGCTACTTACTTCACAAGTAAGAAATGCCACACGTGCTGGTCCAACTGTATTAACGATATCCGTATCTCGTTATTACTTACGACCATGGTTTATTCAAGATCCAATTATATTTAATTTGTATCTCACAATCACAACTCCTTGTGATTAACAGATTACCTAAAAATTGGATCTTCGGATTCTATTATTTAATATTATTTATCACAAAATTAATTTAAATAAAAAATAGATCTCGCCAAAATCAAATGCATTAAATATATTAAAAGCGTTTACAACCTAAATCGATTGGATTTAGGGCATAACACTCACATTAGGCCATTGTGATTATATTCCTTTGTTAACAAGTCAAAGTGAAATTTTGCTTGATTGACCATGCCATTTTTAAAAGTATCCCATCGAATACACATAAGCAGTGACGGATTTAGGAGAGGACTAGCTTGGCTGTGGTCCCCCCTCTACCAGGCCCAATTAATATTTTTTTAGGGAAATTTCCCCATTTTTTTTGTAAAAACAGATTTTTAATGTGTAAATTTTTTTTTCACGTATTAGCCCGGTTTGAAATTTTTTAATTCGGTTTTGAATTCAATCCTGGATCCATAAGCCACGAGATTATATCGAAGGGACATGCCAACGTATAATTTCTGGTTAAATCCGTGTTTACTTGGTCCTTCAGAATAATAATGTTTGGATGAACGTTACAAACTAAATTAATTACCATTAATACGGGGGTTAGTGTTTACAAATCTTTACTGTTGGGTGCAGAGTGTCTGAAAACTTTTGGTTTTTGTACACCTGTTGAATGTGAATGAGATTATAATACAAAAGATCATGTATGATGTACATAATGTAGCTATATTTGTGTGCAGAAAATGTCTCTCTTTTTTCGATTTGCCACCAATAAAGATAATCTCACTGGCTGCTTCAAAAGTGCACAAATTTATTTATTTATTATTATTTTTTTAAATGAAACGCTTTCTAGGTGCTCTAGTCTTCATATTTTGTTTGCAAGTGTAATCTTCAGTGGGCTACTTACCTGCATCTCTCTCATTTTGTTCCCTGAAGTTCGCCCAATTTTACATGCATACAGCTTTTTACAATAGGTTCAGAAATTCACATGCCAGGATATATAGCTCTCAAAATCCATTGTTATAATATTTCTATGAAACAACTTATCATTGGATTGGTAGATTGCTTTGAAAAAGCATGCGCTGTTGGAAAATTATTTGTAATTTTTAGTGTCTTAAATTATAATGAAGTGTAAGCTCAAAGGTTATACGATGTATCTGCATGGCATGGAATCTCTTACCTAACTCCACAGCATTTTATCCTTTTTGGGATTGATTAGTCTTGTGACTGAACTTCTTGGTGATACTCTTGGAAGGTGGATTCTGCCCTTGCAGTGGATCGCACAGGATCTAGAGTACTTTCTGGTAGCTATGAATATACAGTCAGCATGTATGATTTTCAGGGAATGAATGCTCGTTTACAGTCATTCAGGCAGCTTGAACCATTTGAAGGTCATCAAATTCGTGGTTTGAGTTGGAATCCTACCTCAGATCGATTTTTGTGCGTGACTGGCTCAGCTCAGGCTAAGGTGCTTCTGCAATTATAATCCATGTTTATATCTAGTTTGAGGCGATAATGTGTTCGTGATGAACTGATCTTTATTGTATTGCAGATTATGACCGTGATGGACTTACATTAGGTGGGTTTGTCAAGGGGGACATGTATATACGGGATCTCAAGAATACAAAGGGCCACGTATCTGGATTGACTTGTGAAGAGTGGCACCCTAAGTCCAAGGAGACAATCTTGACATCATCAGAGGATGGTTCACTGAGTAGAAAATATATAAGCAGGAAAATGACTTAAGCAAATTCAAACTTTTTTCGTTCCACGAAAATCTTTTGCAGTATCAATGCAAAAGCTAACTATAGAAACTAGGCAGATGCAAAATGGTACCATCTTGCCATCTGAAATTTGAACTTGAATTTTGTTTCAAGCTGCCAGTAAAGCAGAAGAAGAAATTATATTTAGCAGCCAAGGAAAGCAATCAACCATGTAGTATGATATTGTTTTTCCGAGGTTTTCCAGATTACTGATTTTGTAGTGACGTTTTGAAATATCCAATCTGACTTGTTGAGTTCACTTGTTGTTGGGGAAATCGCATTGCTGCTGCTCGTAAAAAGTGGGAGAGGTTGATGAAACTTCTGCACGAGTGCAGCGTGTGTTCAAGGTCTGCAGCAGTTCTAGAATTGTCATTCTAGTTGATGCAGTATACCCATCTGATGACTATACCTTGTACACACATAAATAATGTTTAGACTCATGTTATGAGATTGTAATTGCGTGATATAGGTCAGTTACAATGCTCTAGGAAGAAAGGAGTAATGGCATAATATCTTAAAGTCTATGCATCTTATCTCACGTCTGCAATCTCTTTGCCGTTTACTTTAGCTTCCATCTTTCTTCTGTGTATCCCTTCGAATCTTCTTGATGGGATTTCTACATGTTTTACATTAGCAGTCTCAGTAATGATTTGAAATAATGTTTTACATTAGCAGTCTCCGTGACATCCACTATAACATATTGAGTCTTTCTCCGTAGAAGAATCTTGCATCTNTTGAAATAATGTTTTACATTAGCAGTCTCCGTGACATCCACTATAACATATTGAGTCTTTCTCCGTAGAAGAATCTTGCATCTATTTATCCAATAATATGTCGAAATAAAATTCTGCGTCTTTAAGCTGACTTCTGGTACGATACCATGTGTAAAATTGACAAGATAACTACTTATTACATTCAAGAAACACACAAGAAATTTCTCCAACATCCAAGAATTAATCCATTGAGCATTAGGTGCACAAATTCACTCATGTTGTACATTGTTGTTGTTGTTGTTGTTTGTTTGTTTGTTTTTTTTTTTTTAAAGATTATAATAATATTCTTTTCTTTTTTCAGATACCCTTGTCCTAAACCCTATATCCATTGGCCAACTCTGTCCATAGTATGAAGTACACAAATATACTCTTTAATTGGTTTGCCATTTTCATAACTCAGAGGCTGATCGCATTCGTGGCACGTTGAATATGGATATTTCGAGACAGGTAAATTAATTGACAAGGGAAAATCAAACCATACTCTTTACTTCAGATTACATGGGCATAGTTAATGGTAAAGAGTTTACTGAATAGATATCAACCATCTGCTCGAGATTTGTAGACAATATATGTACAGACTCAACTTAACGAAATGCTACTTCAGAAATGTCTAATAACTTAACTAAATATGAGAAATTGCACATCAAAATTTAGACATATTTATGTTTAAGAAAGTTGCAGTCTTGCCAGTGTCTTTATGTAGTATTTGAAGGGAGACGGAGATCCTTGTTGAGTGCCACCCCACCTTACCCAAAAAGAAAAAAGGAAAAGAACAACACATATCTGGTTCTTATATGGTGGACTGTGTGCCATAAGATGTGTGTAGCTTTGCTTATATGCATAAATCCACCTAAAAATGCATCCTAAGCTATGGGACATAACGTTGAAATGGAACTTTGCTCGGCTAACTTGAAATGGTGATTTCATTCGCCATTATTTTGCTCACAGTGCCTTGCATCCTGAACTTGACATTCTGAGCTTGTGTTGTGTTTATACTCATTCTCATAGCTTGAAAGCCGAGAATCTGACAAAACTGTAAATAGCTGTGTGTCCACAAATAGCTGCAAAAGCCAAAAATTTATTGCATGCCTTGTGAAAATACCCGGGACTGATGAAATATATCATTTACTTATTCTGGTACTTTTTGAGGAATTATAGGCATATGAGTACACTGGTTTAAGATAATTAGGTACTTCCCCTGTGAGTCCACATCTAAGGATTTAAATAAAAAATAACAGTGAGACACTACAATGGAACATCCAGCAGAAGAGATTATCATGCAATACCATGATTGCCAGATGGAAAAGATAAAATAGCATCGGAAAAGAAATTATGTAGACCAGAATTCCTATGACTATGCAAATATCTATCATCAAGGTGGGAATGTACTTTTTCTTTTTTTCTTTTCACATGAATATCATTTTATTTTAGTTGTGCAGGTGAATCATGCTTGTGACTATCATCTAGCTTATACTCTCTACCTATTTCTCTCATGTTCATGACACGTCTCCACAATGCAAATTTCTGCTATACATAGATATCTTCTATTCAATGTCCCGGTTTAAATGTCTTGTGCTGTCTTCCGTTTCAAAGTTGGATTTTCCATAGAGGGATTTTAGTGCCTGAGTTTTTTGAATATCTTAGCATAGCTTGTGTTATTAACTTATCATCTATTGCTAAATTTATCGTATAATGCAGATGCATTAGAACAAATAAGTGATTATTTAAAAGGCGTAGACATATTTGAGCACTAAACCAAATAATTAAGGCAACAAAATCATATGCAGCAACTATAAATGACAAATTTGGGGGCGAAGGGAAGATGTAGAAGAACGTACCTTAACAAAAGGCCGGTCCTTGTTAGGAAAGGAATCGATAAAACTATCCTTGAGAAGTAAGGAAACCTGGAATGCGAGGTATTTGTATCAGTGGATGGTCACTGTAGACAAGATTATATAAATGTGATAATTTTGAGATTCAAAAGCTAAGTAGAAAGTCAACCCTGTCACTGTTGGATTGTACACTAGTAATTGTATGCGACCTCAAATTTGAACAAAGAGACTCCAAGTACCGTCTCATCACAGTTAGAAATTTTGCAGCAGCTTCTGCCTACAAGTGCATAACTTTAACTTTATTTAATACAATAGCGGCTAGAAAAAAGAATATCGAACACAATAGAATGTAAATACCAACATGCCTAAGGAAAAATAGACAGTGATTTCAAGACTTCAGAAAAGATCTCAATTTTCTTGAAGGGCACCACATTTTTTCTATAGATGCACCAAATCTTAATTGCATTAAAGGTTCCTAACCTTTAATCATTGTCACATTTATGTTCCTAAATTTTTCATTGCATTTTTATTCTCAACTTCTCATTAATTAACAGATCGCGCCCTTAATAAAGGTTGTCATCCAAAATTCATGTTGGTGTGCTTTAAAACGAGGGATAAATATTTAATTGTAATTTTGCATTTGTGTTATTTTTGGTGCTTATATGAAACTAGAAGGGGCAAATAAGTCTTTATCTCCCACTTAATAGAATTTTTGGGGAAAAGAGACAAGTTGTGTTAATTAATGGAAGGTTGATAATAAGACTACGACAAAAACATTTAGGAAAACATTATGGACCTTTCATGCAATTAAAATATGATACACTTATAAAAAAAAGGGGAAAATTGCAGCAGAGGCCTCAAACCTTTATAACATTAGTAGACTTTCCCCAAACATTTGTTTTGTTGCAACCGTTACTCCAAACCTTTCAAAACGTTGTGGCGGAGGCCCTTTTGAACGATTTTCATCCAAATATCTGTTAGTTGACTAAGAAATTTGACTTTGGCCACATTTTCAATATTTTGGAAAGGGTAAAATAGTAACTTTCCATTTACTACATTAAAATAAGTAAAAAATTAAATTAAAAAAAAAAGAAAAAATCAGAATAAAAAAAAAAAATTCAATCGTCTTCTTCATCTTACCCCATCCCCATCCCCACCCCTACCCTTACCCTCACCCCCAAATCAGCCACGCCACCTCCACCTCCACCTCCACCTCCGCCAACACGGTAGTATCGAATCCGCTCTCCTCCTCCAAGTCCAAATTCGCTGGCCAATCCAGATCCGAAACCACAGTTCCTCTAACTTCGTCAATCCCTCAAGGGCCTCAACCCTAAATACTCCTATTTTAATTTTTTCTTTGATCAAAATCTCGTTAGAAATTTGAGTTCAATACTCAAAATAGGTGGTGGTTTTTCTCACTGGGCCGCCTACTGAACATCTTGCTTATAGATCTTTTGTCTCAGTTTCTTGCTTGTGATTTTACCGGGACGACTTATTCGTGGCTCACCTTTAGTTTTTTAGTGGATTAAGAACTGAATGGGAGTGCTTAAGAATCTGCCTAGAGAAAGGAAGTTTTGAGTCCAGGTAATACTTGCCAGTTCTAATAATTTTTATGCTTCAACCTGCAAATGTAAATTGAATGCTGATTGTATTTATAGAAGAGAATTGTGCGAGCAAACTTTGAAAGAGGCTATCAAATGGTGAAGATGAGGGATTGAGCTGATTGTGAACAGCCAAGAGTTTGATATGGCGGCGTTTCCATACCAAGTGATGGTAGCTGGACAGAAGACTGCATCTGATTTTGGGGCGGGGGCGGGGTGGGGATGGGGTAGGAGGAAGAAGACGATTGATTTTTTTCTTTTTTTAAATTCTGATTTCTTCGTTTTTTTTAATTTAATTTTTAACTTATTTTAATGTAGTAAATGAAAAACTACTATTTTACCCTTTCCAAAATATTAAAAATGTGGTCAAAGTCAAATTTCTTAATCAACTAATAGACATTTGGATGAAAACCGTCCAAAAGGGTCTCAGTCGCAACGTTTCAAAAGGTTTGGGGTGACGATTGCAACAAAACAAAGGTTTGGGGAAAATCTGCTAATGTTATGAAGGTTTGGGGCCTCTGCTGAAATTTTCCCACCAAAAAAAATGGGGTGTGAATGTATTTAGCGATTCGGAAATCATCACAAGGATAAAAGAAAACTATTCCAAGGTTATTAAATTAAGATTTCTCCCCCAAATCTATGAAGTAGAGAGATGTAAATTGATTCTTTCGAAGAACCGGAAGTAAAGCGCCATGACATATTCCTATCCACAACCAGTCATATTCATTGAAAATATTAAACGAGATGAAGTAGAGAGATGTAAATTGATTCTTTCGAAGAACCGGAAGTAAAGCGCCATGACATATTCCTATCCACAACCAGTCATATTCACTGAAAATATTAAACGAGACAGTCATCTTGCCTAGTAAATACCTGTACTTCGTTGCATTTATATACTGGAAGCCTCTGAGGAATAAAGTCTTCACTTGATAATGTACTGTGGATTGGGCCAATTTCAGAAATAAGCTCTTTACGTTGAGGAAGTTGAGGCAGGTTACATGTTTTCACCTGCACCAAAAGATTAGGAATATAAAATGTTTCCCAAAGAAGAATTGGTAAAAGAGTATTACATAAGCAATTTCCTACAAGGTTCCGGGAATTGCACTTGAGATGGCAAAATATTATAAAACAGCAATGAGACGAGACATATTCTTCCTAGATGGGCGACAAAACATGTTGAGATAAATATGCAGTAAGACAACCTGAAATAATAATACAGCATAAGATTGTACATGAATAGGTTCTCCCAAGGGTTTTAACGAACTCAGTGCTGTTGCGCATAACCTCGATAGGAAGCAAAGGGTGAACAAATATACACTATTATTTCAACATCTTAGAAGCTCAAACATGCAAGCTTATATTTGGAATAGCAAAAATGTACAGACATCGCAATTAAAACAACAAATTAAACCTTATTCACAATAAATTCGTGGTCGGCTATGTGGATCCTTTTTCGATGTTCTTTTTGGTTCATTGCTAGAACATTTATAGGACGAAACTCTTAGCATCTAACATGCTGTGTTAGTTTCGGTCTCCCCCCACCCCTGATTATGAATATAAGTATATTTAGGTTGACAGAAAACATGAGCCAACCCCCAAGTCATCAACTTACCTTCGAAAGGAGCCACCAGCACTTGATGCTTATATTCTCGTTTCTTATCTTATCTAATTTAGTATGATTACACATTCACTTAGCATCCTCATTTCTGCTACGTTCATCTAATGGACATCAAAGGATTGTAGACTCTAAGCATTTACGGGTGGGCTTATTATACAAAATAAACTTAAGCTAAGGTCCTGTTTGGTGTAGCTTAAAATCAAATTTTTAGTAGATTTTGATAAACGTTGATGAAATAAGTGGTTGAAAAGTTGTGGATCCCGTAAAATACGTTGATAAAATTAGCTGTTGACTTTGACTTTGACCTGAGATTTTTTAATCTATAATAAACAACATCTAAACAAGTAATTGCAGACAATATAAACAATATTTTAGTTTCTTCTTTCTTTCTTTCTTTTTCTATTCTCTTCTTATCTTTTTAATTTATGTTCTTTGTAGATGGGAAGAGGCGGGTTGCATTCTCGAGACATATAGTTGGGATTGACCCACAAGCTTCATTAAGAAACAAGGAAAATATGTTTGCTGTGAACATAACAGATCTTCTTCTAATTCTAAAGACAACTGAGTATAGTATGACCAAAATCTGATCATTGATCACATTAACATGTACAGACACATAGTTTGGCGTTCACTTATAATATTGAATTTATTAAAAAAAGGAAAGGTGTTCACTAAAAACAAGATAAATCTACCTAAAATTTTAAAGAAACTCAAAATGCATTAAACTAACAAACCTGGTCTTTAACCACATTAACATGAACCAGATTAGAAGTTTTCATCTTCAGGTCAACTAGTTTATGCTGTATGCCAATCTGCAGAGTAATTGGAGTAACAATGTAAACAAAATCATATTTTCTGATTCCTTCTTAGAAGTACAAGAATAGCAAGTTTTCAGCTTCTACAAACAGATACTTCACTTTGTAATAAGATGGATGGATATCTTCAAAACTGAAAAGGAAAACATTCGACACAAAGCCAGATAGACATTAAGCTGTGCAGGGAAAGATTGCACTTGGGAAAGGAAAAAAGGATAGTTGGCTAACTAGAAAAAGTTGTTACGATACCAAACAAACTACACTCGGATATATAATTACAGGTTACATTTACCGATCAATGCTTGAGCAAGCTGTTGGTTCAGCTGAGTACTAGACAATCATGAAAGTCTGAAAGATATGTTGGATGTGGTGGTTTATATCAAAGCTTATCAAAGTAGTAGGTATATACTGACAGAATATTAGATTGATATTATTATACTCAGTTTCCAATTTTGATTCGTATTTTAGGAAAAATAATTAAGTTTAATTTAGTTGCTTTGTTATCTATTTCCTTCTTAAAATAGGGTCTTTCAAAACCTTATATAAAGGGGCTTATGTGATGTCATTCAAACAACCTTTGATTATGAAATAAATTGAATTTCTCCCCCTCTTCTTATCTCTTTTCCATCATTTCTCCTCCTCTCCCCTTTTCCGTTCTCATATAATCATTTCATAGCATCCGATATCAATTTGGTATCAGAACCAGTCTTCTTCCTTTGGCCAACGATTGTCTCTTCAAAAACCATAAACCAAACACCACTAAAACCTTAAAGCAACACAAAAACGAGATCTCAGCAGCAACGGTAAAGTTTTTTTTTTTTTTTTAGTTTCTCAAGTTTTTGTAATTTTTTTAAAAAAGGGGGAAAAAGTCAAGAAATCAATTTGCAAAAAGTTGTTCGACTGATTGCTGCTGCTGCACACCCATAACCTAGCTATTCTCAAAACAAAATTTATCCAACCCACTAAACATACACATATACCCAGCTCATACAACAAACCCAACATTCTAAAATTAATCCCACAGATCAACCCAACCCAATAAATCCACTAAACCACATATTCATCCCAAACAACCAAGCTAAACTTAAATACATAGCCCACATCTCAATATATACAATCCCAAACATTCGACCCAAACTACTAACCCATACAAATACGCCATACTTACCCCAATAACCTTCAATCAATTAACCCAGGTCCATATCCACTACAAGCCCTTACCCGTTCCCAAAACAATTAGCCTATAACCCTTCCTACACTAATAACTAACCCACCAAAACCCATAACCCTAAGCCCAATATTCATAACCACAACCCGGCCCACACTAATCATCCCCTTCACCTCTCAAACCCTACACTAAATCGGCACCTACGACTGCCTCTTACCATCGTCGACAGCCACTAGTAGCCGACGACTCACCTCACCCATCAATCGACTCTCTTTATTTCACACCCCTATTTTCACATTGCCTACTATCACCGCATCAAGAACTAATTCCATTTTCGGTTTTCCAGTCACTCTCACTGTACACCACTATTCCATCTCACGCCACCATCGCCTTTCCCACTCCCACACTCAGCTGTTGCCAACTCCTCTACCAACATCATATCACTGCCTCCGTGTCGTCGCTCCTCCTCCAGCCGCTGCTCGAAGCCATCAGGAAGCATCACCTCCTTCGTCAATGTCTACATGTGTCATCGCTACCATATGCATCTCCTTTAATTTGTAGATATAGCCTGTACTCGTGACACTACTAGAGTTCTGACTTCATGTTTTGCAAAGAACTTGGGAAGCAATTCACGGAACATATAGCCTGTCATTGCGTATAATTGGATTCATATGTGCACCACCTACACATCTTTGCATTCTCGTAAGGTTTATTAATTTTGCATTTTAAAAGCTTTGCTTTTTATTCTTGTGTTTGTAGCCAGTTTGATCACATTTCCAAAAAAAATGTCATATGATAACTTTAACAAATACAACACACCTCTTACTCCGTACCATGATAGTGTGTATGACATGTCTCTTGTTTGTACAATAATCTTTCATCTAGGAACTATGTTGACACCATTCATTATTCTTCTAAGAAGGTTCCTTTACAATTATGGGACTTTGATGGCCTCACTAGACCCAACTCATTTTTTCATTGGCTCGATAGTCTTGAAATGTTCTTTGCCTATCACAATTTGAGTGACTCGCGTAAAACTTGTCATGCTAATATGTCATTAGTCGATTCTGAAAGACTTATTGGAAATCATATTTGTGCAATCATCAACGCACTATCACCTTGTTGGATGAGATGAAACAAATCCTAAGTAATTAATATGTTTTTGTGTATTATCAAAATCATTTGTTAAATCAATTCTTTTTGCACTGTAGGCGAGGTACTTCCGCTGCTAGTAAGTATCTAGCCCATTTTGAAGAGTTATTGAACAATTGTTATATTTATGAGGCTTCCCATGTCACAGCGTCTACTTTTATCGATGGTTTGAATCCTGAAATTTTGCCTTATGATATTCTAGCATTCCAATCCTTAGACGACGCTTACCAACAAACTAACCTATGGAACATATCATTTCATCTTCGCCAAGCATGTCATAAACTAGGTATATCATCTTGGTACAAATAATCACCTCCCAAGTCACTAATTGTATTCCTCTTGAGAAAGAAAATGAAGCTGTCATTGTTGAGCCAAGTGAATATTCTAATAGCGAGGATGAAGAATTTTCTATAGTGTTACCATCTCAGTCAAAAAATCAACCTGTTTTCAATTACGTGCTGAAGTTGATCTTGCCTAATATGTTGTATGATTCTAACGTTGTCTTTGATATGATTTTACCTCCACTCTATAATGCTTCTCGAGTTACCATGTTGTCCAATGTCGTTGTTCATTCAATTATTTTTCCCACACAAGTAAAGAAATGATTGACTTTCCCACTTGAACTTAATCTATTTGATTGGCTATCACACTTAAATGAGGGTTTTGTTTTCAATATAGCAAAATTAATTCCTTATTGAGGCAAATTAGAGCCACCAATGTTGCATTCTTTTATTTCTGCATATCAGTCTATCGTTTTAGTGCATCATGCTCCTCATGTGGAATCCGTGGTACATTTTGTGGATGAGTTGCACATATTTTTGCTTGCTAGGGTTCTTCAACGATATTTGGTTAAAAAGTGTTGAATTTTATGCGCAATATTAAAGAGATGAAAACGAAAATCAACATAAGAATTTTATGTGGTTCGGCGGTGTGCCTACATCCACGAGAGCGAAGCGGAGATTTCTTTATTCAGTTGTGAAAAATAGGGTTACAACATATTATTTATACTAACCCTAATCTGGGCCCATATAAAACTTTAAGGCCCGTACAGAAAATACCCATGTACCGTACCACAGGGGCGTTGCCCCCGCACCCCCAACCCATTTGGTGTCCCTAACAACCAAACAATGAATTAAACCCGCGCAAGACCGATGTCGTCGCTCTGCTCCGCGCCGGCATCGGCCCATTTGATCCAGGGCCTGTGTTCCACTCTATATGAACCACATGCACAACAATCTCCACATTGGCGAATATTCACCCCTTAGGAGAAAAAACATAACCTGGAAAAAAACCACACCATCTAGGACCAATGAGTTGGGACACATCCTCTCTAACAGCTAGAGATGTTAATCAAGTTCAAGCAATGCTTGAACCTATCCATTGTGATCGGCTTTGTCATCATGTCTGCTGCATTCTCTGAGGTATGCACCTTCTCTAACAATAACTCTCCTGAAGTAACCAACTATCTTATCTTATGAAATCTCACATCAATGTGCTTGGTTCTTGCATGATAAATCTGATTCTTAACTAGGAAGATGGCGCTCTGACTATCACAGTACAGCTTCATTCCATCTTGCTTAATCCCAAGTTCCTTGACAAGCCCTTTCAACCACAATAATTCCTTCGCTGCCTCAGTTGCCGCCATGTACTCTGCTTCAGTTGTAGATAATGCCACGAGTGATTGCACCATTGACCTCTAACATATGGGCCCACCTGCGAGTTTGAAAACATAACCTGTATGGGACCTTCTGTCATCCAAGTCCCCTGCATAATCTGCATCTACATATCCTTGAACTGAAATATCACCATGTTGTCTCTCAAACATGATCCCGCACTCCATTGTACCTTTCAAGTACTTGAAAATCCACTTTACAGCTCTCCAATGCTCTCTACCAGGATTAGCCATATACTTACTAACCACACTGATTGCATGTGCTAAATCTGGTCTGGTACACACCATTGCATACATCAAACATCCAACTGCGCTGGCAAAAGGTATCTTTGACATCTCTGCAACATCTTCACTCTTTGGGCACTGATTATTAGACAATCTGAAGTGATTTGCTAGTGGTGTGGCAACTGATTTTGCATCTGACATGCTAAACCTCTCTAACACTTTCTTCAAATAGTTTTTCTGAGACACCCATAATTTTTTGACTTTCCTATCTCTGTTGATCTCCATGCCAAGAATTTTCTTAGCCGGTCCCAAGTCTTTCATATCAAACTTACTGCTCAACAAAGATTTCAATTTGTCTACCTCATCCACGTTCTTAGCAGCAATTAACATGTCCACATACAACATCAAGAAAATATATGAGTTATCCTCAAGAACTCTATAGTATACGCAACAATCATACTCACAACGACTGTAGCCAATCTGAATCATATGAGAGTCGAACTTCTTGTACCATTGCCGTGGAGACTGCTTAAACCCGTATAAAG